AGTTAGGTTGACACAGAGGAGACTGGGCCAGTGATCTCAAAGCAGCTGTCTTGTTGCTTTGCAGTGGCTTCCTAGGCCAAAGTCCTACCTATGAAAAAGATGAGTCCCCCTATAGACAGACGGATGAGGGACATGAACAGACAATTCACAAAATGGCAAGAGCAAAGAAACATGAAACATGACCACTCTTGCTAAAATAGAGGGGACGGAGTTAACAGAAATAACAGCAGCACTTGGATACCATTTTTCCTCCATCAATCAATTTGGTAAAGGTTTTTTTTAAAGAAAATAATTCCCAGGGTTTGCAAACAATTACTGTTAGAAAGGTAAATGGCCTTTCTTAAAGCAACGTGGCTGTGTGTATGAAGAACTGTAAGAATGTTCATTCTGGAATACAATATTCTGGAATAGCATATGCCAGAAACAGATTCAAGAAGATATAGGAATTTAGTACAAAGTGACATTTTAAGTAAAGAATAAGACAGATTTCCTTTTCTGACTATACTGAAGACAGGATAACCTAGATAATCTTCACTTACAAAAATATTTAGACATAGTTGATAAAATATAACAAAATGCCTGAGCTCCCAAGATAAAAAGGGAAGACCCCAGGGGTCACAACCTGTAAGGGAATAATCTAAGTCTCCTGGTCTAATGTCCAGTTGGAGACAGGTCACCAATCTTACAGGCTGTGTGAATGTGGGAGGGGCAGTTGGATCTGAGTCTTCTTGAAAATCTGAACCTTGAGGCCAGGTACGGTGGCTCACGCCTGCAATCCCAGCACTTTGGGAGGCCGAGGCAGGAGGATCACTTGATGTCAGGAGTTCAAGACCAGCCTGGCCAATATGGTGAAACCCCATCTCTACTAAAAATACAAAAATTAGCTGGGTGTGGTGGTGTGTGCCTGTAATCCCAGCTACTCGGGAGGCTGAGGCAGGAGAATCGCTTGAATCCGGGAGGTGGAGGTTGCAGTGAGCTGAGATAGCGCCATTGCACTCCAGCCTGGGTGAGGAGGGTGAGACTCCCTCTCAAAAAAAAAAAGAAAAGAAAATCTGAACCTTGAGTGACAGAAATTAGTCATAGTAGCCTTCTCACATTGAGAAAAATCTGATCCTTGCTTGATCTAACTCTTCTAAAGACCAATGGTCTCAACCTCTGACAAAGATTCTCTGAGTGACCAGACTTTTGTCAGGCTTCTGGATCTTCTTCTAAGCCCATCTGCCCTTCCTTGCAAGATCCTGAGTCATTATGGCAAGATTTCCCAACCTGCATATCTGACCGGGTTCCTCATTCTTCACTGTCCCCCAGGGGATGTTTGATCACCATGACCTGTCTTCAGCAGGACGACACTGACACTGGCCTTCTATGTCAGTTTAGCAGAATCTCCCTTATTCCTGATGATTCCTCTTACTTTTTCCATCCTTGGCTATAAATCCACACTTGCCATCACTATATTTGGAGTTGAATCCAATCTTTCTTCCCCACTGGAAAATCCATTGCAGTGGGCCATCTAGCTATTGGAATGGTCCTGAATAAAGGCTGCCTTATCATGCTTTAACAAGTGTTATTGAATAATTTTTTTAACACCTCTGAGTCTCTGTCCACCTGGAGAACCACTACAGTAACACTCAGTGGGGTACCTGTGTCATCTCTAAAGCACAGTATATTGTCATGACAGATAGTCTGAACTCCAAGAGGTTGTTCTTTCGTCTTTGTATAGTCCGTCATAGATCAATTTGGCAGCAGGTCTATCAATATTTGGAATGTGACTCCACATCTAGGAAACTATCCCTCAAATAACAGGATATGCATAAAAGGTCTCTATCAATCATAAATGTACAGGGACATTCGATATGCCTTTATTTATTTATTTATTTTTTGTTACGGAATCTGGCTCTGTCGCCCAGGCTGGAGTGCAGTGGTGCGATCTCAACTCACTGCAAGCTCCGCCCCCTGGATTCACGCCATTCTCCTGCCTCAGCCTCCCAAAGTGCTGGGATTACAAGCGTGAGCCACTGCGCCCGGCCTTATTTGTAATAGGAAAAAATATTGGAAGCTGTCCCATGTCTGATGAGAGTAAACACTATGCAGACATTAAAAAGAATGAAGTTGATCTCTCTGTATGAAAATGGAAAAACTGTTCACACAACGCATTATTTACTTATTTTTATTTTTTATTTTTTGAGACGGAGTCTCACTCTGTCTCCCAGGCTGGAGTGCAGTGGCACGATCTTGGCTCACCACAACCTCTACCTCCTGGGTTCAAATGATTCTCCTTCTTCAGCCTCCCGAGTAGCTGGGATTACAAGTGCGCACCACTGTGCCCAGCTAATTTTTGTATTTTTAGTAGAGATGGGGTTTCGCCGTGTTGGCCAGGTTGGTCTTGAACTCCTGACCTCAGGTGATCTACCTGCCTTGGCCTCCAAAGTGCTGGGGTTACAGGCATGAGCCACCACTCCTGGCCCACACATTATTAAGATTTTTAAAAAAGCAAGCTACAGAACAGCCCTGTCCAATAGACAGAATGCAAGCCACACAGTGACTTCAAATTTCCTAATAGAAATATTTTAAGACATAAAAATAAATAGGTGAAATTAATTTTAAGAATGTATTTTATTTTACTCAGTACACCTAATAATATATATATATATATAATATATTAGTATATATATATATATGTCTTTCTTTTTTCCCCTGAGGCAAGGTCTCATTCTGTCACCCAGGCTGGAGTACAATGGCATGATCACAGCTCTCTGCAGCCTTGACCTCCTGGGCTCAGGTGATCCTCCTACCTCAGCCTCCCAAGTAGCTGGGACTACAGGTGCATTCCACCATGCCTGGCTAGTTTTTGTATTTTTTTGTACAGACGGGGTTTCGCTATGTTGCCCAAGCTGGTCTTGAACTCCTTAGCTCAAGCGATCCATCCGCCTTGGCCTCCTAAAGGGCTGGGATTACCAAAGGTGTGAGCCACCACACCCAGCCCCAAAATATTCTTTAAACATGTAATCATATAAAATTATTATGAGATATTTAATACTCTTTTTTTATACTAAGTCTTCGAAACCTGATGTGTATTTTACAACAACACATCGAACCTTGAGGCCAGGTACGGTGGCTCACGCCTGTTTTTTTTTTTGAGACGGAGTCTCGCTGTGCTCCCAGGTTGGAGTGCAGTGGCGTGATCTCGGCTCACTGCAAGCTCCGCCTCCCGGGTTCATGCCATTCTCCTGCCTCAGCCTCCCCAGTAGCTGGGACTACAGGCGCCCACCACCATGCCCGGCTAATTTTTTGTATCTTTAGCAGAGACGGGGTTTCACCGTGTTAGCCAGGATGGTCTCTATCTCCTGACCTCGTGATTCACCCGCCTCGGCCTCCCAAAGTGCTGGGATTAGAGGCGTAAGCCACTGCGCCCAGCCACAACAACACATCTTAATTCAGACCAGCCACATTTCAAGTATTTGACAGCCACTTATGACTAGTAGCTACGATATTAGACAGTGCAACTATAGACCACTTTTAGTATCTATTTTTTTAGCAACTCCCAAACCAGCTATATACGTATTGTAATAAACATAGAAAACATTTGGAAGGATACACAAGAAATGACTAGAAATGCTTTTTTATATGAAATGGGAATGCAGGGAGGGAAGGTGATCAAGGTTTAATTCATGTATATCTCTATTTGAATTTATTATATAAGGATATATCATATTTACTAAAAACATAAAAGAGAAAATGCTTATTCTTTTCAACAAAGTCCATGTATAGAAATCTGTCTTAAGGAAATAATAAAATATGTAAACTAACATTTATGACAAGGATGCCATTGGCCCAAGACGTGAATAATTTTTTCTAGTGTATCCATGCTATAGACGTTACCGGCCATTACTGTATAAGAAAAACATAGCGTACCTAGGGTTCAGTACTACCCATGGTTTCAGACATCCATAATTTCAGGCATGCACTGGAGGTCTTGGAGTGAGCTCCCTGTGGATAAGGGGGGACTACTATATTCAACCCCACTGGAGGCTTGACTCCCTGAAAAGTGGATGGAGAAGAACAAACTGATGTGAAAAATCTTTGTCTTCCAACAAATATACAGATAGGATCTGAACCTGGGGAGACCACTGAGCCTTCTCCTAACCCTTCAGTGGGTGGTCTTTTCCATCTGCTCACAGGAATGTTGAGATTTTGGCTGTGGACCTTGTGTTTTGCTTAGCAAATTTGTTTTGTGTAGATCGCACCTGACATTTTAAATTCTTCCAATAACCATAGGAGGTAAGTGAAGAATTCACGCGCAGTGCAAGGATAAAACTGCACAGGTTTCCGCTGCCTTGGAAACCCTGCGCTTTTCAGATATTTGTTGAATGGAACTTAAGTGCCCAATTTGTTCTGATTGGAGCAAAACTTTGTGGATTGACAAGGAGGGGTGTCCAAGATGTAGGAAGTGAAAAAAAAAAATGTTGCCAAATAAGGTGTAGAGCACGATCCTATCTGTGTTTTGAAATCTATAAAATTATCTATCTATGCACCTATATCTAATGTATCTATCTCTGAATGGAGAGAAAGAGCCTGACCATTACCACCCTCTACCCCTGAGAGTGAGAATGAAGTGTACAGGGAGCAGGTGCAAGGAAGAATGCTTACTTCTTACTTTATATATTTCTGTACTGTTAAAATTTTAACAGGCTGTTTTGTAACAATAAAAAAAATTTAATAAAAGCTATCAGCTGTAATAAGAACTACCTTCTGACAGTAGATATTCTCAAATCATCTCACCAAGTGCCCAGAAAGAGTTAACACAGGAGAATTCCAGATGTTTGAAGTGAGGACAAATTCCTGCTTTGAGGGTGAGAGGTGGGCTTAGGGATAAGAGGCAATGAGGAGGGGAGAGGAGGAAAGAAGCTGAGGGGAGGGCTGGCTGCTGAGCTCTCATACCCAACCAATGGCATGAAAGTTTCAGGCTCAACGCCCATTTGTGGAGACTATTTCAGGAGTCAGGATTTGCATCTGAGTTCATTGCCACTGTAACCTGTCAAAGAAGAGCTAAGGGAGCTTTCAGGGTTCGCTTCTTGGAGGCTGCTTTCTCCTTTACTTGGAAGGTAAAAATCTCAAGCCCAAGCTGATCAGGCAGTGGTGACTGATTGGGCTGTTCACTTTTTTCTTTTTGGTGTATTGATTTCTTTTTCCAACTAGGGCTGTAGGATCCTTATGGGATAAGGTTTTACTTTTACTAACAATGATATTTACACGGAACTTCTAACAAGATGGAGTGGTTCTTCCTGGTTCTCTGCAGATGACAAGAAGCATTAGGTAGATTTTCTTGGATAGGCTCGCATGGAAAGGAGGGAGCACCTATTCTTTGATTGATGAACAATTTTCATGTTATTCCTTCTTGGTTTCTCATAGAGCATGGCTAAGCTTTGACAGGAATTGCAGATGCATGTAGCAAATCCTACTTAAGTATGATGGGTTCTTGCTTTATTTTCCATCTCAGTAAAAAGTCTTAAAACTCCCCTCATTCGTAGTAAAGCTACTTTATGAGAGAAAGTAGAAAAAAAAAAAAAAAGAGAGAGTTTGGAAAGACACTTTTAGTGAAGTCACTCCAATGTTTAGGTCCAAATGTAGCTCCTCTCTCTCCCAGTGCTATGTTTTCAACATCACAGGGACCTTCTTTCCCCTCGCAGGCTTCGCTAGTGATGGACCCATACGTGATTCAGATGAGCAGCAAAGGCAACCTCCCCTCAATTCTGGATGTACATGTCAACGTTGGTGGGAGAAGCTCTGTGCCGGGAAAAATGAAAGGCAGGAATACCAGGTGGTCCGTGAGGCCCTCAGACATGGCCAACAAAACTTTCAACCCCATCCGAGCCATTGTGGACAACATGAAGGTGAAACCAAATCCAAACAAAACCATGATTTCTCTGTCCATTGGTGAGTTGGGGGACACTACTGAGGGGCTGTCATTGTCCCCCTCTACTCTCATGTTCACAGGCTGGTTGGAGAGGATGGGAGTTGGGGGTGAGTCTAAGTACTGAACATGGGAGAATAACCTCTTGGCTCCTTTTGTTTTTTCCTCCCATAAAAAGGGGACCCTACTGTGTTTGGAAACCTGCCTACAGACCCTGAAGTTACCCAGGCAATGAAAGATGCCCTGGACTCGGGCAAATATAATGGCTATGCCCCATCCATCGGTAAGCCCCTCCTGACACTCCATACCTGGTGGCTGCCAAATCTTTAGTGCTATAATAACAGGACCAAATGTCTAGTAATTCTCTTCACTTTCCTGATGCATAATTCCTAAGGAGAGGCTGAGATTACATGGCCCTTTGGATTTGGGAAAGGGGTCTTGGAATGCTTAAATACAAGGCATCAAGGTCCAACTTCTTTCCTGGCTTTCTTTAGCATATGGGCACTTCCCCTCTAGGCTCCCAAACATACTTATTTGTGAAGTAAAGTGCCTGCCCTATCATTACTAATTCTAATTTGAAGGCCTTGAGTCTGGCAGGAGCTTCGTGTTTGCTGAGCCTCTAGGTCCTAAATGGATTTACTTATTGCCCTGTGTACATAGCTCCTTTGCTTCATTTCTGCTTCTCTATGTATTGAAAGCCTATTTTCATTATGGTCCTGAGCACACTGAAATGCAATTGTTAGTATTTAAGACTAAAGACGTTAAACAAACAAATAAACAAACACCCAAGAACAACAAAAAATGGACTCTCAAACTGAAGGATAGAAGGTTGTTTCTGATAGATTGAAATTACTCCTTTTTAGGTTTACTTCTCTCCATCTATTAAAAATTTCTACCCTGAATATTTTGGTAAAGTACATGCTTCCTTGACTTTCAATGTTGAACATTTTTTTTCCTTATGTGTACATAGAAACACATTCTTAATGCAGAATAAAACTCCAGTTTCATGATAAAATCAAATTTTAAAAACACTTTAAAGAGTTATATCGGGGACTTCGTGGTTTTTCGGTTGATTACTTACATTATATAAAGTTTCATACAACAAGAATAAAAACAAAATCAAGACCAAAAGTTAAGTTGTAAGAAAAGTTTCTAATGACTTTAATATCCAAAGTATTAGGAAACTGGTTTAACCTGAAAAACCAAAACCAAAGCTCCATTTGACAAATGTTCAAAGGTTCTGAATATTTCATTTCAAAGGAGATACAGGTGTTAATATATATCTAAAAACGTGTTCTTCCTCATTAGTAATTAAGGAAGTGCTGATTTGTATAATTTTGAGAGATCCATCTGTACCTATTAAATTAGTAAACATTATGAAATAGTGCCTCTAGCCTTGCTAACTTGTCTTTTTGAATATAAATTTTGCAAAATATTAGGATGGGCATGAAACTGCTGATACTTCAAGCTTGTAAGCCAACATTTGGAAATATTGTACAAAAATAATTTGAAATAAAAATTTGTACAAAATACTGATAGGAATATTACATAACATAAAAAACTTAAAATGGACCACATGAATTGAATGCATTGATTACAACTTCTTCTTTTTTTTTTTTTTTTTTTGCTCTTGTTGCCCAGGCGGAGTGCAGTAGCGCGATCGCGGCTCACTGCAGCCTCCGCCTCCTGGGTTCAAGCGATTCTCCTGCCTCAGCCTCCTGAGTAGCTCGGATTACAGGCATGCACCACCATGCCCAGCTAATTTTTGTAATTTTAGTAGAGATGGGGTTTCTGCATGTTGGTCAGACTGGTCTCAATCTCCTGGCCTCAGGTGATCCACCCACCTCGGCCCCCCAAAGTGCTGGGATTACAGGCATGAACCACTGCACCCAGTGATTACAACTTCTTAAAAAATACAGTGTGTAAAAAAGATTTAGGAATAATAGAAATCCTTATTTTACACAGAATAAAACATAATCACAGAAATAAGATGGTGCAGAGTATTTGGGGAGCTCTTCCTTGTTATCATTTATAAATTTGTGCTTATACTAAAATTGTGAAACATAAAATGTGAAGTGAATCTCCTTTATCCACAGTGGCTGAGAGCTGAACTAAATAGAATGCCCTATGAGCAGGGGCAGAGGCAGCCTGAAGCCCATGCTGGACCTCCAGGGCATAGCTGTCAGTTCAGGGAAGAAAGCTTCATCTTCTGGCCAGGCACAGTGGCTCACCCCTGTAATCCTAGCACTTTCAGGAGGCTGAGGTGGGAGAAGCCCCTGAGCCCAGGAGTTTGAAATCAGCCTGGGCAACAGAGGGAGATTCTGTCTCTACCAAAAAAAAAAAAAAAAAAATTCAAAAATTAGCTGAGTGTGGGGGTGCACAACTATAGTCCCAGCTACTCAGGAGGCTGAGGTGGGAGGATCCCTTGAGCCCAGGAATTTGAGGCTGCAGTGAGCTATGGCTGTGCCACTGCACTCCAAGCCTGGGTGACAGAGTGAGACACAGTCTCTAAAAACCAAAAAAGCTTCACTTTCCACTCTTTTCTTTCAGGCTTCCTATCTAGTCGGGAGGAGATTGCTTCTTATTACCACTGTCCCGAGGCACCCCTAGAAGCTAAGGTGAGCCTTATACAAAACACCAGCTCTGAAGCAATTTAGGATAAACTATCCCCTCTTTTCCTAGTTTCTGTTCCACAAGAAGTACAGGTGTCAGAGGGGGAAAAGCTGAGAATAATTTCCCTTTAGCAATTTGAAGACTTCTCATAGAGTTGGGGTCACTAATCAGTGATTACAGTTAATGTCATTACAGTGTGAGAATGACCATCTCATACAACTTAATGTGGTGTCTGTCTCAAGGAGGCTGAAAGGATCCAGAGAGCACCTATATTTGATTGTCTGTAAAAGATCATTTGAGAATAACTCATAAACACCAAAAAATTATTTTAAAAAATTTTACCAATAGGATCTTTAAAAAAAAATTGTAGCTTTTCTCATTTACTGTAAGGTCATTTAGAGAGAAAGATAGAAGTACCAGGACATACTGAATTGATGGCAGTGCCAAGTTTAAATGATGTCCTTCCCTCTATGGTCTACTGTGTGGGGTCAGCATTTTCTAACATAATATGTGTCTGTCCCTGTATGTCAGACAAGAGCCAGACTTCAAATCTCTGGCCAAAAGTAAATAAATAACCAGGCAAAAAAGGTCCAAGGCCAGCATGCTCTCTCATGGAAGTCTGCTGAGTCACAGCCAACCTGTCCTTTTTAAAGTGATTTGTTTAAGTGGCCAACATTTCAACAATAGTTATCAACATATATAAATTTCTTTTGGTTTTGGCTTAGTACATTTCCTACTACTTACAACTTGTTAAAGGAAGTTCACAATTGCTCCCAATTCACCTACCTGACAACTTCTTTTCTCCTGTTGCTGTTGGAATCCCTAATGAAATTAACCTTTTATTTGCTTCACAGGATGTCATTCTGACAAGTGGCTGCAGTCAAGCTATTGAAATGTGTCTAGCTGTGTTGGCCAACCCAGGGCAAAACATCCTGGTTCCAAGACCTGGTTTCTCTCTCTACAGGACTCTGGCTGAATCTATGGGAATTGAGGTCAAACTCTACAATTTGTTGGTAAATGACTTTTTAATCTTAGACTCAAATGCTCAGTTACTACCCTGTAAAAAATATATGACCATTACTTCAGCAGAGGAAGGTCTCAAAGTGGTGGTTGAAGCCAGAGACAGACTTTATTGCTTACATGGGACCCTTGAGATAAGTGAGGATTCCCCCTAAATGTTTCCAAATCATCTTAGTCTCATCCTTTCTTTCTCTTCAGCCAGAGAAGTCTTGGGAAATTGACCTGAAACAACTGGAATCTCTGATTGATGAAAAGACAGCTTGTCTCATTGTCAATAATCCATCAAACCCCTGTGGGTCAGTGTTCAGCAAACGTCATCTTCAGAAGATTCTGGCAGGTATGTCCAGCAGACTTCACAGAGGACGAGGTGGGGACAGAATCCTTCAGCTGTTGTGTGAAATGACAAAAACCAGTCAAGTTCCAAGCCTGGGGTGGAGGTGGGGAGCTCCACTGATGTCGCTCATCAATACTGTGTGATAGGAGTGGTAGGGCTTGCCTAAATGAAGAAATACTTGTCTGTTTATCAATCCCAGGAGAAAAATAAATAATACTTGCCTCTTCATCACTCCCATCATGTTGAAGATAGGGTCTGAAATATCTAGTTACTTAAATGGCGAATTCAGGCTCTGCACTCTGGAAGAGTATATTAAGAATTTACAGTTCTTAAATAGGAAGACAAAACACACAGACATCAAATGCAAAGCACACTTTGTGCTTTTTGTCCTCCTCTTTAAGAATGGTAACTTCTTAATATTACGGGATAGGGAAATTACATGATATTATGTGACTATTACATGATAAAGCAATTTACATTAAAACCGATTTCAGCATGTTTCTTTTATTTTTAGTGGCTGCACGGCAGTGTGTCCCCATTTTAGCTGATGAGATCTATGGAGACATGGTGAGTCTTGATCAGGATATATCACTACAATAATCTCAAATTATTTTATGAAAACTTTAGAAGTGGAATAATCGGAAGTAACTCCTAATTGTTTCATTACAGCAAATCGGTATCCCTGCACTTTTAACAAATACACAGACCCACAACTCCTTAGCCAGTTTTCCGAAACCCAAAGAACTTTGGAAATCCAAACATTCTTGGAATTCATTTGGTTGCAAAACCTGATTTGACCTGATATTTGTAAATTTTTATTTTTCCCACTTACGGATCTATATATTTGTTAAGAGTGTGGGGAAATTGGCAGAAATGTCAATATTCTTGATTCAGGTTACTATCCTAGACAGCTCTGGGAGTGTTACATAACATACGGTAAATGTGCTACGTGGCCTTTCTAAAGCCCAAACCATTCTGGATTATGAAACATACCTGGCCCCAGGAATTTCAGATAAGAGATTGTGGACTCATATTTTAAATCTCTAACTCCTATAGACAGGAATTTCATAGAGTCAGCTTCATGGAGTTGTAAATATTACTGGGCTAGGTTCAGTTTCCTTATTTTAGGCTTCCTCTAATCCAGTCCAGGTACCAAATTAAATGTCTTTGTGTAGTCCCCTTTGAAGCCTCTTGCAATCCCAATCATGCTTCAGGGTAGGGATGATCCCATTAATCCAAGGACCTGTCCCTAGTGATAGAAGAAAATGGGTGGGAGGCATGGGATCTGGGATTGCAGTGAGAAGTAGACAAGAAAACAACCACAACAAACGGGTGGGAGGCATGGGATCTGGGATTGCAGTGAGAAGTAGACAAGAAAACAACCACAACAAGTACTTCTTCTCAGGTGTTTTCGGATTGCAAATATGAACCACTGGCCACCCTCAGCACCGATGTCCCCGTCCTGTCCTGTGGAGGGCTGGCCAAGCGCTGGCTGGTTCCCGGTTGGAGGATGGGCTGGATCCTCATTCATGACCGAAGAGACATTTTTGGCAATGAGGTAAGAACAATATGGTGAAAGAGTATGTGTAATTTAGGGTATATATTTACTTCGTGAGCACAGTGGAGACAAGGGAGGCTTTCTTCTTTTTTTTCTCCTTGTCAGTCACACAGCAGGTGTGTGGCAGAGCTGGGCTATGAACCCAGACGGTCTGATCTAAGAACGCCACTAGACACCATCACTTCCCAATATTAAAAATCTGATAGAAAGGTCAGAACAAGAAATCCTAAGACAGAGATGCTTAAGAAAAGCTAAACAACATGTTTCTTGTGTCTGTCTTTTAGATCCGAGATGGGCTGGCAAAGCTGAGTCAGCGCATCTTGGGACCCTGTACCATTGTCCAGGGAGCTCTGAAAAGCATCCTCCGTCGCACCCCGGAAGAGTTTTACCACAACACTCTGAGCTTCCTCAAGGTAAGGGCAGCTCCTGCCCTCCACTTTGGGAGTTTGGGAGTCAGAGAATGCCACCTGTGGAATTAGGAATAATTGGTTCTCCTTTCTGGAGCCACGTTCCAATATTAGGAGATGGCATCAGTGTAAGCATCCACCCACATGTTTCTCACTTCCGGCCGTTCTCTCTGCCCCTGGTGAAAAGCTTCAAGTGATAGAGCTTTTTCTTTTTCACTCCTTATGCCAGAACATCACACCTACATTCTCAGTCTTCAACGAGGGGTCTGTTTTTAATGACTTGTCTTTTACTTAAATTTTGAGCCTTGATTTCTCCTTGCCTCCTCTTGTAGTCCAGTGCTGATCTCTGTTATGGGGCATTGGCTGCCATCCCTGGACTCCGGCCAGTCCGCCCTTCTGGGGCCATGTACCTCATGGTGAGTATGTGGGTGGCAGGCCCTAGATCTATGCATGTTGTAAGGCAAAGTGCAGTCATTCAGCAGAATTGCCACTACGCAGGGTACAAAGACAACCAGCTAGCCTCCTGGGCCAGGCAGTTTAGGAGTTGTCTTATTCAGAATTGTCCCACTGAGGTAATTTAGCCTCTATCAGTTCTCATAAAACTCTTTAAATGACTGAATTAGGCAGGGCATGGTGGCTCACGCCTGCAATCCCAGCACTTTGGGAGGCCAAGGTGGACGGATCACTTGAGCACAGGAGTTAGAGACCAGCCTGGGCAGCATGGTGAAACCCTGTTGTCTCTACAAGAAATAAAAAACATTAGCTGGGCGTGGTGGCACACTGCTGTAGTCCCAGCTCCTCAGGAGGCTTGAGATGGAAGAACCACTTGAGCCTGGGAGGTCGAGGCTGTAGTGAGCCCTGATCGTGCCACTGCACTCCAGTCTGGGAGACAGAGTGAGACCCCATCTGAAAAGATGAGGAAAAAAAAAGATTTATTTCTTCAGTACAGAGAATCATTTTATATATGTAGATACAGGGAAGATTTAAGACACAAAAAAGAGGCTTTTTATACCATTGTAATTCTCAACTGGGAGTGATACTGGTTCCCTAAGGGTATCTGGGAATACACGGGAGTTTTGTTTGTTTACAGAATGACTAGGGCTGCCATTTTGTGGGTCAGGGATGTTAAATATCCTGCAAGGGGTGGGCTAGTCTCATGCCATAAAGAATTGCTTGGCCCTAATGCCAATAGTGTCTCTTTTGAGACATACTAGCATTCTATTTTCAGCTTTTATTTATCAGTGTCTGGGAAGGAACTCTTTAATAAATTATTAATAAAAATATATCCTCTCTTCCCTGAGAAAAATTCCGTAAGTATTAGCCCTCTTATTTAGCAGGGATCAGTAGTACAGTTCCAAGACATCTTTTAAAGTAGCCCCTATCTTAATTTCTGGCATAGGAAATTGGCCTGTGTTCCCTCCTTCTGATAAGTTGGTCTCTCCCTCCTGTTGGTATAGGTTGGAATTGAGATGGAACATTTCCCAGAATTTGAGAACGATGTGGAGTTCACGGAGCGGTTAGTTGCTGAGCAGTCTGTCCACTGCCTCCCAGCAACGGTGGGTGCTTGTGTCTCTCAACATTCTCAACAGTTTCTAGAGCCCCAGGAGCAAGCTCTGAGCTGGTTTTTAGTCTGATCTTTTCTCCTCCAACAAAATATCTTCTCATTTGAAAAGATTCAAACTGATGTGTCTCATGGAGCCTATTTAAAATTTGCTTCTCCCCCTGGGTCATAATTCCATCCATATTGGGAAGAAAAGTTGTAAACAAACGTTCTAGGTGAGAGGAAATCGAGCCTGTCCCACAAGTCCTTTTAAGATGAAAGAACTCAGTTGCTGACTTAGCATTCCAGTGATGGGAACTGAATGAACTGATGGCCCTGATGAAATGCTACCACTTCTTGTGGATCAGGGTCCTGACCATTTTAGGGTCGTCCAGTACCAGACTCAATTGCTCTGAAAGTAACAGGCTTTTCTTTTAGCAGTGCTTCGAGTACCCGAATTTCATCCGAGTGGTCATCACAGTCCCCAAGGTGATGATGCTGGAGGCGTGCAGCCGGATCCAGGAGTTCTGTGAGCAGCACTACCACTGTGCTGAAGGCAGCCAGGAGGAGTGTGATAAATAGGCCTGCATCCATTCTCCTGAGGATGTGTCCCATCTGGGGAGGGCTGGACTAGGCCTTGCGGCTCCTCAGGGACTCAGGTGGCCCTACTGGAGAGGGGCCTCAGATGCACCATGTCAAGAGTTTAAGATTGTTCCTGCTTTTCCCCAAGTACGATCACACCCAGATTCTCCCTTGCTCTGCGCTGCTGGAGTGACCCACTAATTCATTAATCTGCTTCCCTGTCGTAAGATTTCCTCCTTTTTTTCTTGAAAGTACCAGGTGAACAAAGTTTACCAGAAAGCAGTTGAGACAAGAAAATAAGAGCTCAGGATGAGGGAAAAGAAAAATATTGAGAGAACTTATGCCCCCAACCATTTCCTCAGACTCTAAGAAAGAACACACTCTCTCCAGGCAGGTCTGAAGGTCAACGCTCTTATTGCCTCACTTCAGGTATACCTCACTTTATGCAATAGAATTACAACTGGAAAGAAGTTGGGGACACATGTATTTGGTTAATTACATTTTAAACACATTAGGAAACGTTGCTATTTTAACTTTTTATTGATTTTTGGGGGGAGTAAAGAATTTTGATGCAAATGAATATCCTTTAATTGATTGACTTCCTAAATTTAGATTTGTGTGCATCAGGCTTTCTTTTTTTTCTTTTTTTGGAGACAGAGTCTTGCTCTGTCACCTAGGCTGGAGTGCAGTGGTGCGATCTCTGCTCACTGCAAGCTCCGCCTCCCGGGTTCAAGCGATTCTCCTGCCTCAACCTCCTGAGTTGCTGGGACTACAGGTGTGTGCCACCATGCCCAGCTAATTTTTGTATTTTTAGTAGAGACAAGGTTTTACCATGTTAGCCAGGCTGGTCTCAAACTCCTGACCTCAGGCAACTGCCCGCCTGGGTCTCCCAAAGTGCTAGGATTACAGGCATGAGCCACCACCCCTAGCGGCATCAGGCTTTCTTAAAGTGACAGCACGTCTGTACTAGAGCAAGCAGGAATCAGAGACCTTCCAGAAATACTACTGTGTAAGGGCGAGAAATATCTTCACTTGTCATTGTTATATGATTATTACTTTTGCTGTAATGTTAATATTGATTTATTAATATATATTATATTATCTTTTCATACATTTTCTAAGAAACATTTATATTGAGGAGATCTTTTATTTTGCCGAGGGCATAAATTATTGTTTTGTTTTTTTTTTTAAATAAACTTTACTAAGTATGACTCTTCTGTGATGTGTTTTTTTCTCCTCTGTTTGGGAATTTCTAATCCCAGGCATTGCTCAGTCTCATTGTTTCATTACCTATGAGGTTTCATTTACTTCTTTGTAAATGTACTGACTTTTGGAGTTAAGAAACACAATCCCTAAAACATTTTATTTGGGAGCTCAACTTCTGGCTTCCTACTTACAAACAAGGCAAACTAAGAAGCAGTAAGTTATAACCTCTGGCCTTTGTCTTTAATTTTCAACTTTTTGGATCCCTAATCTCTGGTCCCAAGTTACTACCCTTGCCTAGATCCACTAACCACTCACTAGGTCACAAAGTTGATGCCTCTGGCTTGACCCCACAAATGAGAAGTGTCCTATTTTTTTTTTTTTTTTGCAAATCTTTGTAGGCACAGTTGCCTGTTTAATTATTTTCCTCAGTCCTTTTTTTTTTTTTTTTTTTGCAAATCTTTGTAGGCACAGTTGCCTGTTTAATTATTTTCCTCAGTCCTTCCCTTAGAGTAGGGAGCCTTAAGTTACCTTTCAAGGTTGGGGGTTAGGAATCTATCACAACCAGTCTAGAGATTTCTTACCAAGGGAAATTTTCCTTATCTAAAAGAGGAACTTCAGGTCTCAACCCTGCCAATTAATGTCCTTCACAAAAATAAACAGCATATGTTCCCTTTCAATTGAAGTTTGAGTTCACTGAGCTCACAGCAAAATTCACCTTTTAATTTTCTTCAGCAAATCCAAAATGAATATACAAAGGATGAGATGAGATAAAGATTTCAGTTTCCCGTATGTCACCGCTGCCAATTTTCCAAAAAAGCCAGGCTCCTCTTTTCCTGTTCCTCCATCCAAGCTCCCAAAGATCTCTAACCAGAAATAAACAGGAAGACTCCGTGATTTACAAAAGACGTTTTAGCTTCACACACACAGAAACTTCTACCCAGCATTACAGAATTCTACTGAGACTTCTTAAATTCCTGAGTTTCCTTGGTATGTACAATTTGATAAGGGAGCCAATGGCTCTTCAAACATTTAAAAAGAACACATGCACACTGGGCAATTTCAAACGATACAAACAAACGCTACTGTCCTTTCTCATTCCTGTCCTTCAGTCACCCACTTTATTCTCCGCTGAGGAAATCAGTTATCAGTTGCTGGTTATACTTTGCGATTATCCTGTGCCTATGTAAGTGTGTGTGTGTGTGTGTGTGTACGCACTTTTCCTTTTTTCAAATCAACTATTACTGAACTTTGTAATTCTGCGCGCTATGGGGGTCAAAGGAGGGATGGCATTGCTGGGGTGTCCCCCACGTCCCGGGTGTCTCTAGATAAAAAAGGAACTACCGGGCGGCGGCTGCTCCCCACACAAGCTTAAAATTCCCGAAAGTCAACTGCCAGTTGCTTTGGGTGGTGGCGTCAGAGTGTCTTCAGATAACACGAAGAATGCGTGTAAAGATCGGAGACGGCCGGGCGCGGTGGCTCATGCCTGTAATCCCAGCACTTTGGGAGGCCGAGGCGGGCTGATCACTTAGAAGGCTGAGGCAGGAGGATCACTTGATCCCAGGAGGTTGAGGCTGCAGTGAGCCGTGATCAAACCACTCCAGCCTGGGCAACCGAGGTCGCCTCAGAAAAAAAAAAAAAAAAAAAAAAAAAGGTCGGAGAGGAGGGCTCTCAGCTGCGAATTCACCTTTTCTTTCTGTGACCGAGACTCGCCTACAGGGTAACTGGAGAGTATCAACACGGAGTGATACCAAGCGCCTCACAGAAGCCCCCGGCCGACATCAGCATCCCGGCGACCTGCGGCTGCGCAGGCGCGGATGCGTGTTTAGGGGCTCGCGCTGCTCAGTGTGCATGCGCCGTCGCTAGGCAACAGGGCACTGCTCCGGGCGCCGGCGTAGAATTTGAGCTGCGGGCGAAGGTTAGTACCTTTATTCCGCCCCTACTTTCTCTTAGGATGTTACATTTTGTTCCCTTTTTCAGCCTGTCTACCCTGGTCACACCCTGCTTCGAGTTTCTTTTCCTCCTTTGCCCCCGGTTTGGGCTCTGACTGGTGGAATTGTTCCAGGAAGTTGACGAAACATCCTCGGCTTTGTAATCACCTGTTAACCTCTCCCAGCTCTAGATCAGAACCAGCAACTTCCATGAGTGGTGACGCAGAGCAGAAAATCCTTTTAGCTGGTGTTAGTTTCCAATGGTATAGACCCCTGGAACTTTTCTCCAAAGAATCGTAGCCCTCACCGTCCGCAATGCCTGACATTAGGATCTCTACTCAGCCAGAAAAATAAATCCACCCCCGTACTCTTGTCAAAGACAAAGCAGGACAGTGAAGTGGTTAGGACAGGTTTTAACCAGTAATATACTAATGGAATAGGGAAGAGTCCAGCACGAACTGAACTGAACTTTGATTTGTACAAATGTTACTCAGACTTTAAAGGAAAAGTGGGGGAATAGGGAAGGGGAGAGGAATGAGGGGGCGCTCAGAAGAGTGAGGGAAGTGAAACATTACAAAAAGTGCGAAGTGCGGGTTAGTACGCGTGAAACCCATCTGGGTTTGTTAAATGGTGTTTCTGGAAGTTAGGCTCTTATCCTCCCACAGAGGCTGGGAGACAGGGACCATATCTTAAGGTGTAGGCTGGAACAATAAATTCCTTTGGCAGCCTGAGTTTTTTCAGGCAGGCCCTTTAAAGCGGGGCTGGAGTCATCCTAGAGATGCTACCTTGAACTGTTAGAGACTGTGTTAGAGTTTTGTTCAAGTCTGTTGAGGCCTAGTCCACAAATGGCTGAGGAGACTGGCTAGAGTTTGGTCAAGGAGAGAATTTTTGTTACTCCACATATTCTGCACATTACTCTGCATGAGGTGTTGTATTTTACATACCCTAAAGTCTGAATTATTGCGTATGTTGGAAAAGAACTGAATTCTCAGTACGTATTATTTGTATCCTTATTTATTTTAAACAATTTAGGTTTATTTACAAACAAGTTTCATATAATATTATAAAACCGGCAAATACAGATGCTCTCTATAGGCCAAATTGTTTCATAGCACCTTCCAAAGAGTCAGTCAGTCATTTGCTAACATTAAGGTTGAAATATAGGAGGTGATGCCCAATTCCTCAAAGAAAACAATAAACAGACAATAGCACATCTGTGTCTTAATTTTTGTGTGTTTCAAATGTAGAAAAGAATTCTTGGTCGTTAACTCATTTGATAGCCTAAATTTAATGTATGTTTACATTATACCATATTTAAAAAGTAAAGCTGTGGGAATGTTCCCTTTGGCAGTGCATCTGCTAAAATTGGAGCAATACAGAGAAGATTAGCATGGTACTAGCAAACCAAATTCAACAGTACGTTACAAGCATTGTACACCATCACCAAGTGGAATTTATTACTGAGGTGCAACATATAAGAATCAATCAATATAATATGCCACATTAACAGAATAAAGGACAAAAACCACATGATCATCTCAACTGATGTAGAAAAGTTAGTTGACAAGATTTGACACATTTTCATGATGGAAACACTCAACAAACTAGAAACAGAAGGAATCTACCTCAAGATAATAATAAAGGCCATCTATGAAAAGCTTATATCAGCCAGGCATGTGGCTCACGCCTATAATCCCAACTTTGGGAGGCCGAGGTGGGTGGATCACCAGAGGTCAGGAGTTCAAGACCAGCCTGGCCAACATGGCAAAACCCCATCTCTACTAAAAATACAAAAATTAGCCAGGCGTGGTGGCACATGCTTGTAGTCCCAGCTACTCGGGAGGCTGAGGCAGGAGAGAATTGCTTGAACCCGGGAGAGGTTCAAGCAATGAGGGAGAGGCTGTAGTGAGCTGAGATCGTGTCACTGCACTCCAGCCTAGGTGACAGAGCAAGACTCCATTTCAAAAGAAAGAAAGAAAAGAAGGAAGGAAGGAAGAAAGGAAGGAAGGAAGGAAAAGAAAAGCTTATATTGAGCTTCATACTCAATGGTGAAATACTAAAATCTTTTGTTCTAAGGTCAGGAAAAAAGCATGGATGCCCACTTTCACCACTTTAATTCAACATAGTATTGGAAGTAGTGGCCAGAACAATTAGACAAGAAAAAGAAATAAAAGGCATTCAAATTGGAAAGGAAGAAGTAAAATTATCTTTGTTCACAGATGACATTATCTTATATGTAGAAAACCTTAAAGATTCCACAAAAACTGTTAGAACTGTTCAGCAAAGTTGTAGATTACAAAATTGATATGAAAAAGTCAGTTGCTTTTCTATACACTAACAATGAACAATACAAAAAGAAAATTAAGAAAACAATTCCATTTACGATAGCATCGAAAAGAATAAAATACTTAGGAATAAACCTAACCAAGGAGGTAAATGATTCGTATAATCAGCTGGGCGCGGTCGCTCATGCCTGTAATCCCAGCACTTTGGGAGGACAAGGCGGGTGGATCACGATGTCAGGAGTTCAAGACCAGCCTGGCCAACATGGTGAATACCTATCTCTACTAAGAATATAAGAATTAGCTGGGTGTGGTGGTGCACACCTGTAATCCTAGCTACTCAGGAGGCTGAGGCAGGAGAATTGCTTGAACCCATGAAGCAGAGGCTGCAGTGAGCTGTGATCATGCCACTGCACTCCAGCCTGGGCAACAGAGCGAGAATGTGTCTCAGGGAAAAAAAACCAAAAACGATTTGTACAGTCAAAACTACAAAACATTGCTGAAAGAAACTAAAGGAGACACAAATAAATGAGAAGACATCCCATGCTCATGGATTGCAGTACTTAATGCTGTGAAGATATTCATGCTACCCAAAGTGATCAATAGATTTCAATACAATCCATATCAAAATCCCAATAGTATTTTTTTTTTTTCAAAATAGAAAAAAAATCACCCTAAAATTCATACAAAATCTCAAGGGACCCTGAATAACCAAAAAAAATTTGAAAAGGAAGAATAAAATTGAAGGAGTCACACTTCCTGATTTCAAAAGATATTACAAAACCACAGTAATCA